CAATCAATGAAAGACAAAAAGGGGTCAGAAACTGTTTCCCATCAGTGTTGGGGCCAGCATCCAAGTGGTAACGGGAAAAAGCAGTAAAAGGCATTAATGGATTGAATGACAAAACTGGAACAAGGAAGGGAGACTGCTAAATTTCCTGTGATTGTATAAGAAAATGCTCTTATTTTTAGAAAAAATGCTCTCAAGCATTTGGGGGCATAAGAAACTATTTAGCTGATGTTAGTAACTTCTGAACAAATTGTGAGTGTGTGTGTGTGTGTGTGTGTGTGTGTGTGTGAAGGGGGACAGAGTGAGAAAGAAAGACAAGTTAAATGGGACAAAGTGCCAAAGAGTAAAGGAAATATAGGAATTCTCAGTTATATACTTGAGATTTTCCTGTAAACTTAAAATTATTTCTAAGTAAATGAAGGCATTGGATTAAATTATGAATAAGGTTCTTTATCCTAAAACTCTGTGGTTGTGCTCTGTGATGTACTGACGGCGTGAAAAGCTACCTAGCGCAGAGGGACGGATGGCCAGGTGAGAGGACTCGGTGGAGACGCCCTATCATTTGAGAACAGCTCCCTCCCTGTATCATGTGTGTGACTGGAAAATCCGGCTGTGAGATTCACATCCGCAGTAGTGGCTCAAGGGGGTGGCTCCAGCTCCCAAAGAGGCTCCTGGAACTTCTGTGTCCTCCCACACTGCTCTGCTGGCAGCACCAAGGACACTGGGTGCCATCACATCCACGCTGGGCTCTACTTATCATGCGGGCCCCCGCCGAGGGCCTTCTAGGACAGAAAGCACTCACCACATCCTTATCCCTATTTCCTCTAGGAATGTCAGCTAAACACCTTGCTGAATGCTTTTAAATTGTCTTTTATTTGTGTGTTTAAACTCTCCCGTCTCTGCCAGTCACTGCAAGTGTTTAGATGGTCCGCTGCCCCTAAAATCCCTTTCACATGAGGGCTCCCCAGGGCACCAGTTTTCTTATGCTAATAATAGCTGGAAAGTCAGAAGCTGAGACATGAAATGCAGGGAAGACAGCTACAAGCACAGGTACACTCGGAGGTGTAGAGTCTACATATCTGAGTATTATTTATGGGTGAAAATGTTTTCATTTTTTCTTCAGCACATCCGAGAAACACAGGTCACTACTAGTGGTCTTCAAATATACGAATAAGGGATGGATGCGAACATTTCTTCTATGGCCGTGTGTACTGACAGCAGGAACTGTGCCTCCTACTCCTTGTCTGCATGGTACCACCTAGCTGTGGTGAATTCAGGCAACGAAACAATGAACCACATTAGCACCTGGAAACTTGGCCATGATGGACGTTTTAATTTAATGTTGAAAAGCCATCAAAATAGAGTACTCTTTCCCTTCCAAATGACAAGTCAGTTCTTGTTATTTATGGAAGACACTGTCAGGAGTCAGAGAAATCATTTATCTGAGATTAAAAAGGTCTTTGTACCCTAATGATTCTCTGGTGGCATTTGATAACTCAAAAATGTATGTTATTTGAAAATAATAGTTGGGGCTGTGATGTGAAAAACACAAACCTGTAATTTAAATGGGTTTGAATAAAACTACCAGGCAATTAAAGCAATTTGACCACTGCCAATTTGAATTTATACCTCACATTAATGAAAATGTTTAGAAAAGCAATGTAATTAATTTGTGCTGACACTAAGATAAACAGGATCATCAGATACAACACGAAAGGAAATGGGGGAAACAAAAGGAAGGCAAACACGCTTGAGGCTGGTGAAAATGAAAGATAAATCAAAGACAGAGAAAGATGAGTATAGTGTCAGAGCTCTAGCTCTCACCCCCCCCCCCCGAGACAAATCTCCAATGTGCACAACCCCAGTCAGCCTCCTCTTGCCCTGTGTCTCAGCACAAATGCACAACAAAAGCAACTTGGAAGAAGAACAGAGCAACTAGATTGGAAATGGCATTGCCTGGCATGGAAATGTCTTGAGTCTTTAAGAGGTTACAGTTACATCTGTGTAACCTTGTAGTTGCATCTGTGAATGTGCACAGATGCACAGTGTTTGGCCCACGGTAATTTCTCAACAAATCTGAACTAAATAAAATAGCCTGAAGAAATCAGTCTACAGGATTCCAGGTTTTGGACAGATGATTGGAACAAGGCTGATAACAAGAAACTAAATTTTCCTTTTTGGCATCACCAAGATGATAGCATAACATGTTCAAATTGCTAAGAAGCTAAACCAGGGCAGTACACTGCAGCTGAAGGAAATTCCCTTCCTGACAGATGAACCTTAGCAAACTAGTAATTCATCTTTCAAAGATTATTGAAAACTGATCTCCAAACTTCCAATGCTTTGGTGAGACTTTTCTCAACCTTCCCAACAATTAAGAGTTGGTCAATATTGGTACAGAAAAAACCCCATAGTCAGGTATTTTAATATTTTTCTTTCTGCACTCCATCTCCCTGCTCCCTCTACAGTGGCCTGGTGAATTCAGTGTCAACATCAAGAAAATGTCAAATGCATGTAACTGATTTTTCTTGAAATTCAGAAATGCTGGCAGGAGAATGAGCTGCTTGTTTGTGACATCATAGGAAAGACAGAGGTGAATGTTTTCTCTTGCTAAATCCAAAGACAACCCAGCAGCAATACTGTAGAAGATTGAGTTCTCTGGACCAACAGCTTTCATGGTGTATGCTTTAAAAATACAGCTGCCAATTCTTTGAAACTATTCCTGCCAAGAAAGACAGTCTAATTTTCTTTCCTTTGAAAATTTTCAGGGTCTTAAAAATCTTATTACAATGAAGAAATAAGGTATAAAGTGATATAATGTGTCTTCTGAGGCTGGGTTACAGGAGAGGCCATGTCTTCATAGCTCTCTCTTAAGAGGTTCACGCCTGAAAGGCAGCTTCATAGTGTGGGATAGTCAAGGTCATGTGGAGAAGACAGCTGCAGGTATTCCCTGTGACTGACTCAGTTCAAGTCCCAGGCAACAATCAATCAGTACAACATCTGGTTTTACATGAACTACTTAACCATTTAACTGAGGAAGGCTTTAAGAAAATTCCAACTGTAACTACCATCTGATTGTCCAGCCACCACCTGATTGTACCTACATTATAGACCCCAGGTGAAAACCACCTAGCTGAGGCCAGCTACTACTGAGACCCAACAGAGACACTAGTAATCAACAAATGATTTTTTAACAGAGGTCTGTAAACTATGGCCCATGGATAAAATCTGACCTGCAACATGTTTTTGGACATCTGTATGGGCTAAATATGGCTCAGTACATTTTAAAAGGTTGCAAAGCAAAGCAAAACAAAATAAAAATACATAGTGAAGACCAGGTGTGGCCTAAGACATTTATTCTCTGGCCCTAAATGGGAAGTGGACCTCCTATTCCCAAAAGCTAGTAAGTTTGCAGATGGTTTTCTATGCAGCAACATACAACTGAAGGGAGTGGTGCCCTTGTGCTGTACGATGAGAGGCACTGCGGAGCAGACACTGGACTTACAGTGCCACGACAGTCATGCTAAAGAGGTATATCCAACTGTTATCTGCAAGTCAATATTTATCCTATTGATAACTGCTAATCAAGGGTTGGGGATGTGGCTTAGTAATACAGTGCTTGCCGAGATGCATGAGTACTTGGCTTCCATTCTAATAATAATAGCTAGCATATAATGCATAAGTTCATAAATATACCTGCTCAATCAAAGAAAAAGTGACAGTAACATGAATTATTAACTATGGTGTGACATATATATCTTGGATTTGGCTCTAGATTAAACTCCAGAGTCTGAGATATTAATAATTTTAATAACAGCATTCATTGAGACTTTAGTATGTACCAGACATTTTTCTAAAACTTGTATACATACTGCCTTATGCCAATGCTTACTTCCAACCTGAAGCACAGACCAGGGCTTTAACTAAATCTGCCCAAGATCATACACAGGTAATAAGGACTGAGCCAGGATTTCCAACTGGCCTTGGGTCACATCCATTAACTTAACCACTGCACTGGGCTTTGCTTCTTCAGAAAATGCCTAAGCAAGATTCCTCATGATGGTTTAGAAAAAGTAGTTGGCGTTCAAGTGGAGGGCAGCTCCGACTGACCTCTCTGGCCATACTCTCCTGGGTGCTTACTGCAGACACTGCCCACCCACCTACAAGTGAGGCCTAGAGCCAGAGTCTCCATCTCTCTCCCGTGGGTCCTGAGATCTTCAATAGCATCAATTTTTCTGTTGAGAGGACTCAAAGATACCAGAACAGGCCTATGTCACTGCCTGTTAAAGGCTGTTTGTTCCAAACCAAAGCTTCCCTATATCTCTATTTTCTGCCAGTCAACACGTGGCGAAATATACTTGCCGATCTAAGGCCTGTCATGGGAGACAGTGTTACGTCCTTCATTACCAGCTGAATAAGCTTCAAAGACTGATCAAAAAGCAATAAATATCAAAGTGATACCTAAATGACTGTTGGGATCAGTGGCCATGGAGAGTCACATAAGCATCAGTTTCCCTCTCTGTGAAGTGGGAGTGACAGAACCTATCCATAATTTGCTATGTAGACCAGAGTCGAGATCTTTAAAGTACTTAATCCGGTGTCTGGCACTCAGGTCATGGCCACAGCTATTGTAACATAGAACATGCATTTTTTCTAGAAACTTGGTGACTGGCCAATGACTTTTCACTGAGTAACTGGAACTGCTGTTAAAAGAAAGAGCCATATTTATGAAGCGAGATGCAGAGTAAGAATTACTACAGACCCAATGGATTACACAATTTTCATTTCTCTTCGTCATAAGCCTTTTCCACACTGGAGAATGTTGCTTTAATTATCTATAAAAACGTAAATTATAAAATGGCTCATCATATTCTTTTTCTTTTCAACTGAACCTGACACAAATAACTGAAGATCAAGGTAAGGAAAAAAAGGGCAATGCTCTCTGAGCGTAAGAGGGTTCCACATCATTGACCAAAGGTGGGGATGGCACCTTGTTTACTCACCAGAAGGGAAAAATAACGAAGCGGGTGATGAAAAACACAGCAGTGAAGATTAAAAACAGACCGTTACAGGTTTTCATCCATCCAGCGTAAGAAAACATTTTAGCAGACTAAAAACAAAAGAAACTGCATTTAGATAAAATGACAAGAGCATAAACTTTAAAAATTAAGAAATTAAATAAAATATTTGATATTTGCTTCAAGACAGTTAAGGAGTGTATATGATGTCATGGACTGAAAAGATGGCTATACTGATAAATATTAAAGCTGGAGAAGTCCATCATACTCTTTATTTGTCTGTGTTTGCAATTTTCCATAATATAATGTCTTTAAAAGATATGTTAAAATGCCTGAAACATGGTTCATTTTTCAAAAAGACTCTAAATTCACATAATCAACGTTTCCATGCATTCTTTTCAGGCATTTAGCATTTCCACTTAACTGGGAGAAGCCGGAATCACAGAAAGGCTGAGATAGGAGTGAAATGTAGGCTGGAATGGGAATGCTGCAGTCAAGGTGCGCATTTTAAGGCACATAATGCGAGAGGCACCAGAAGGGAACTCTTGGGGGCCCTGACCTGGCTGAAATAGTTTTAAGAACTTGACTGTCTCCTATTTAGTTTATGCTAGCCCATACTGCTCATATGTTCTGTGTTAAACAAAAAGAGTCACAGAAAAGGATGCTGAACATGGTATTTGATGAAGTTAATTGATGAGGATGTTCCACTGCATTATCCAGTGCAGTCCAATCCTGAAGGGGACAGCTTCTGGTGGGGGCTGGAGAGTGAAGATGGACAGGAGTTGGAAGGCACAGAGTGTGAGCTGTGCTGGAGAAAACCATCCCTCTAGGAAGCACGGCTTAGACTTGGGGAATTTCTGAACTGATATCATCTGGGAGGCTCAAGACCCTTCTAAAACAAGAAAGGCAACATCTGTATACTCTAGGAAAGGTCTGTGTCACAGTTTGCATGCTTGACCATGAGGTGAAGACATGACCAGCCTGTGGGGTAGCTTAGGACTTAGTAGAGTAGCTGCAGTTGCTGACTAAGATAACTAGGACATTCGGTAGGTGAAGCGGGTATAGCGCAAAGGTCGGCACTTGGGCGCGACTGGAATGCAGTGAATAGCTATTTGTCAGGTCAGTGGCTAGGTCAGGTGGAAGTTAGTATGTGCACAGGCAGGAGAACCTCTGTAAGCCACTGGTGAGGGCAAAACAGCACTCGTAGGCAAAAGGTACACATTATGGACTGTGTAATAATGAAGTATCAGATGGAAGTTCCTCTACTACAGTATCGGTCAGGATACATTAAATATCCTGGGTCCCAGATCCAAATTTGGATATGGGGTAATGAGGTCAGGAAAACGCACAGAGAAGGCAAAAGATCATGAGTAAGAACTTGTAGACATTGAGGATGTCTTTACTTGTAAAGAAAGAGTGAAGTAATATGCTACCAACCGTCTTGAAGAATATAAAAGATTATTACTCTTCATCTCAAGGAAGATGTAAACAGGGCAAAAATGGTACCTTGACTGTATTCAGGTCAATATGACTGACAGGGCAAACACTAAAAGAACTCTTCAGAGAAGCTATAAAGCATGCACCCTTGGGAGAGTATTAAATAAAATAGGCCTCTATCAACTACTGATGGACAGTACTGGACATGTGCTTTGAACCTCAAGTTAGATCATGATTTCTGAATCAGGAATGATTCATGATGATTAACAACATGAAGCTGTTCTTACAGTTTGTCCATGAAAGGCCTTCTAAGTCTGATACTTCATTTTTCTTCTGATTTGTACCTAAGGACCTCAGAACATACTCAAACAGTAATGAGCTAAACTTCACAATATACCCTAAGGGACAGACAGACTTCTCAGGTTACAACTGGGGATAGAAAACAAAACAGTACGTGATTTGCCCAAGGCTCTTAGGGATTAGTAGTGCCCCTGACAGCGCACAAGACAGGGTATGGGGAAAACGCAACATTTATTTGAACATATAATTCCCCTTTAATAACACAATGGAACTGTTTTCAGTTGGAAACACACCAAAGACAGTTGAATAAAAGCATTTAGATGCAACAGACTAGTACAAAATTTTTAAGTCATGGTCAATGTGGTCTTAATTTTCAGTCAGAGCCTGGAGATATGATCAGAGAAGGAGGTAATTATAACAGAGATGGCTACATCCAGAGAGCAACAAATGGAAAAGCTGGCATAGTCCTTCGTTTGCTAAGCCATTTGCTACCCTGAAGCACATACAATAACCTTGATCCTTAGAACAATATTTTTACGTATCTAATTAGGATTACAGACAAAGTAGAAACAACATTCTGTACACAAATAATATTTTAGGAGTGGCCATCTGCTTTGAAATGGCTTCAAATAACTTCTGGTTATTTCTCAAACAGAGTTTGTTAAATGACAGTCCACCCCATGGCTAAAGTATTTTGGCCCTTAAGAATGGTTTTTTGCATTTTTTAAAGGGACATAAAACTGAAAAAAAAAAAAAGAAAGAAAAATATGTGACAGAGTTTGCATGTAGCCCACAAAACTAGATTTGCTATATGGTCCTTTACCAAAAAAGTTTGCTGAGCCTCAATATATAGGAACAAGATTTTAGAACACTTAATTTTTTCTATATAAACTTTTATTTAATTATTAAACTTCCAAGAAGTAATCCCAAACATGACGCCAGTTAGCATCATTTTAAATGAGTACATTAAAATGAAAAACTGAAAGATTCATGGGAATGTTGCTCTAAACACAGCAGGAGATCTGGCAGTCAGAGGAACAACCTCTTGACTATAGCCTCAAGATCAGCAGGAACCAATCTGTCACAGAAGCAGGTGGAAGAAACAGTCACTTTGTTCCTCATATTTTGTGTGATATGGGACTAGGAAGACTAGTCTTACTTACTGCATAAAAAATACTAAGTCCTCTTTCTGCTTTAGAAAATGAATGCCATTTTTAAAACATGAGTGTGCATTTCCTAAAGTCAGGGATTGGACTGCAGAAGGATCAAGTAGTCAGTGTGAACATCCAGTGAATATTCAGGAATTTGCTTAATGAATAGATCCAAGTCAGAGAATCCAGAATGTCAAAAATTCAATCTTTCCTTTGAAAAATTATAGTTCATTCCTTCTTCAAATATCTCATCTTACTTCCTGAGCCAGTGTCAGCATGAACCTCCATTAAATGGAATCCCACAAATGACCTCTTGGCAACGCCATGAGGAAATGTGGAAAAAAAATAAAACAAGAAGTGGTATTTCTCACATCTTGAAGGAACTGTGAACGCAGCGACATTCTCAAACTCTGAGTGTTAACAGAACCCCATTAAACCACTCACAGACAATTCCTTCTTTGAGAAAATACAGAAACCCAGGATGTGCTAATGTTATCTTTTTAATGATGAACATTTACCTCCAGCCAAATGTCAGCTACATCATGCACGATCATCACGAGGGTCCCACTGCGAATGTAATTAGCACACCAAGAGAAGCTCATCAAACTAAGAGCAGCCAGGTGGTGAACAACATTAGCTACAAAATCCTATACAACAAGAGAAAAATGGAAGCCATTAAGCAAATGCAGTTACTCTCCAATCACTGGAGGAGATCATCAAATAGTAACACCAGCAACTTATATCTGCATGTTTTGAAATTTACAAAGCTTTCACTTTAATTTTAAACACAACTCTAAGTATTATCCTCATTGATTAAATCATTTAACTGTGAGACTACACTGAACAGTGGTCATCTAACTCCTAACATCTGCTGTTCTTTCCACTGACACGCTGGACATATGGTGTATGTGCTGCCAAAGCAAGCACCACATTGGACATGCGTACAAACACACACACCAAATATACATACAAGTATATTCTTGCGCACGTTTACATGTACTATTTATTCCTTTCTTAGTCTCCAAAAGGAAAAAGATGGTATAATAAAACTACAAAACCTTTAAAGTAAGTTACTTCATATGAAAAAAACAAATTAAAGTTTACTAAATGTCAGAAAATCAAAGTTAAGGAAAACTACCATCATGGACACCACAACATAAAAGATTCTCTGCAAAAAAGACAGACGAATAACAAATTAGCTCCAGAGAGGTGCTCAGCCTCATTAGTCATCCGGAAATGCAAGTCAAAATCACACTGAGATACCAATGCATACTCATTTGAAGAGCTATAAGAAAAATGATGGATAAAATAAGTGTTGACAAGGATATGGAGAAACTGGAATCCTTAGACAGTACAGTAGGAGTGTAAAATAATTCAGCTATTTTGTTAAACAATCTTGTAGTTCCTCAAAAAGCTAGTCATGGAATTATCATATGGACTAGAAATTCCACAGCTAGATGAAATGAAAACATAAATTCATATATAAGCTTGTATATGAATATTCACAGTATTACTCATAATAGCCAAATGAAAAAAAAGAACCCAAATATCTAACTGTTAAATGGAGAAACAAAATGAGGTCTATTCACCCAATGAACTGTTATTCAGCAGTAAAAAGAAAGTGCTGACATACCACAAGCATGGACCAGCCTTAAAAATATGCTACATGAAAGGAGCCAGACACAAAGGATCACATGGTGCATGATTCAATTTATATGAACTAATATCTAAACAAGGTAAATTTATGGAGATAGATAATAACTTAACGGTTGCCGGAGGCTGAGGAGATGGGGAGCTTTGAGGAGTGATGCTAAAAGGTCCAGGGTTTCCTTCAGGGGTGATAAAAACGTCCTAAGACTGACTGTGGTGATGATTGCGTAACTCTGTGAATACATTAAAAATGACTGAATTGCATATTTTTCATAGTTCAACTATATGATTTGAGTATCTCAATACAAATGATTTTAATTTAAAAGTTGCAGCTTCTCTAAAGCTAAACTGAAAGAATAAATATAATAATAGCTCATTTTACTGAGCACTTACTATAAACTAGGAAGTATTTTATATGGATTAACTGGCTTAATCCTTACAACAACCTGAAGATATAGCAACTAGTTTTAGTTCCATATTATAGATGAAGAAGTCAAATTTACGGAGTTTAACCTATTAGATAAATATGTTACTGAATAGGGGTCTAAACCAAGGCAATTAATTGCAGAGGTGAAATCCAGTCATCTTCCAATAGTTTTATATCTCTGAAGATATGTATTTATAAAACATAAAGTATATGCTTTAATTTTTTTTTCATTTTTATCGGTACCAGGGATCAAACTCACGACTGCCTGCTTGCAAGGCAGGCGCTTATGCCGCTGAGCTAAATCCCCAGCCCCATATGCTTTAATTTTTGAAAAGGTGCTCACTGCACCTGCAAATAGTAAAAAGGAAATAAAATACCATGAAATTGATGAGGGATAAAAAAAGTATCAAAATTAGAATCAACCTAATTAAGAACACTTCTTAAAAATAAATATCTTGTATTCTACCCCTTGAGGAAAGAAAGACTCTATTCATTAAACTTTAATGTATACTTAGCCTGAGGTTAGTAACAGTTAGTCAACCGCTACTATTTAGTCATATAGAAATAGAGATCATTTGTATTAGGTTTTTTCATAGTATGTTCTTAGAGTTCATAAGTTTTATTTGGAGATGTCCAGAAAGTATAATGTGCCTACTAGTAATGAGAAACATCTACCCACCACTCACATCAAATGTCACTTAATCAAGCCAATTTCATTTTATGGACTGCTGAATTAAACTCAATTCTATTGAGTGTATAAATTTGGCCACCAACTTGACTTTTGCCTTGGGTGTAGCACATGAAGTATAGGCCAACGTTATTCATCATTTGACCTGCTTTGCTAACATACATGAGGAATTGCATTCATGATCTAACATGGATTGCTGGACCAGAAAAGAAGTTCACCAAGCAATTTCTGAAATGGTTGAATTTGTGACCTGAGAAGGCATTTAACAAGTCTGTGACTCAGTTTCCCTGGAAACAAAGCAAAGCTAAAAATGCTTGAAGCCAGATTTCCTAGAAAGGATACTGGTAAGTTAAAGAAAACATGTTTTCAAAATCTTTGAAAACATTAAAAGCATTTTATACATGATTTTTTTTCAACATCCAAAAGATGTGGTTACAGAATCTCCATGGCTAACACTTTTCTCCTACGCATTAAAAGACACTGAACTCCCAAGCTGAAAGAAACAGACAACATAAAAGGAGGTTTCTTTACTTATTGATCAGGGGCAGAACTTCAAAGTTAAAATTTTTATGTTTTTCTACAAATATTTACCAAGGCACCAAAGAACAAGATAACTTGCACTATACTATGTACTATCAAAAGCAAAAAAGATCCACGAATGGAAAGTAAATACACATAAAAATACAATTTAAAGATTAGAATTTGGGACCTAGGGATAAAAATATTTAAAGAAACTGCTACAGAAACGTGCAAATAATACACTTACCTTCCTCTTGACGTCACTGCCAAGGCTAAATGTCAGAGACCAATAAAAGCTCATTTCTAACATGTAGTACCAGTACTGAGATGGCAGCAAGGGCTGAGGAAAGAAGAGCATTGTTATTTTAAATGCCACCTTAAAACAGTTTACTTTAGTGCACTAAAACCTATCTATTTCTAATCCAAAAAACTCCACAAAATGACACTGGTTCATATTTCAACTTTCAAAAAGGAACTGGAGATAATATTTCAAGGCATTTTATTCCTAAAATGGTAGACAAAAGCAAGCCCGCCCTGCGAGTCAGCACCATACACAGGCTGCTGGGGGCACAGCCAGACCTAAGCCTTTTCCCACCAATTGGCACCGTCAGTGGACTGTGGGTGAGGAGAACAAGTCAAGAAAAAGCAGTCCCTCCCTGCGCGTCGGTGCCACGCTCAGGGCCACTGGCGGAAGAGCCAAATGTACGGCTTCTCCCATGAGTTGCTGCCATTAGTGGACTGCAGGTGAGGAGAACAAGAAGTCAACAAGAAGCCCTAAGCTGAAAGCATGTGTGGGCCACTGCACAGAGAACCAGATGCCAGCCCCTTCTGGCATGCAGGCTGGGAGTCGAGAAGAGCCCAGACCACCACCACCACAAGACAATGGTTGATCCAGAGAAACACAGGCTGGGATGCCTTAATGCTTGTACTATTTAATGTTTCACTGGCTTTGCAGGCTTAAAGCTGGTAGTGTGATCATTTGTCCAGAGGATAACAATATGCAGTGTAGCATCTGGGGGAGCCTCCTTCTGAGGGCGGTAGCCACTGTTAATTTTCTATTATCTTGGTTTGAAGTCCTGTATCACTTTCATTGTTATGTTGGGCTGAGTTTTATTCTGTTTTGTCTTGTTTGATTTTATTATATCCAATGGCATGGGCAGCTACTTCAAAGATAACAAAATATATTATGATAGTCATTTTGGATTTACAATTATCTTGTTTTGAAGTCCTTTACTGTGTTCATTGTTTTACTTTTATTGGTTCTATTCTGTTATGTTTTCTTTCATTTTTATTATGTCTAATGCTATAGGCAGCTATTTCGAAGACAATAGCATTACGGTAACCATTGTTGATTTAATTTTTTTTTTTTTTTTTGCAGTACTGGGGATCGAACTTACGACCCTGCCAAGCTTGCCAGGCAGGCGCTTATGCTACTGAGCTAAATCTCTGGCCGATTTCCTATTATCTTGTTTTGAAGTCCTTTATGACTTGCACTGTTTTGTTTTGACTGGCTTTGTTCTGTTTTATTTTACTTAGCTTTATTGTCTTTAAAATAAAAATGTAAAAATAAATAAATAAATAAATTCCAAAATCAAATGTTTTTCCTGAAAAATTAAAACTACTATAGGAACTGTCTTATTTTAACTTAATTTGATTTAAATTTAAAAAATAATTTAAAATACATATACTTAAGAACAATAGGAAATCTGTTTTATTGGTCCTATACTTTCCTTATTTAATATTTCTTGACTATTACTGAAATTCTAATGTTTTAATCTCTTTTCTGGTGATAGTCCAGGGATTAGAAGTAATAAATTATGTAAAATTATTTTAGGACCCTAAAAAGTCTTCTGAAAACGAATTAAAGTTTTGTTGCTAAAATTATCCTTAGTACTTTTGTAGTAAGTCAGCTGAGACATTACATGTAGGCTATTACCTTAATGCTCCACTGAATGCTTTCTCCTGATATTCACACCCTTGTGTAGTCCCTTCCCACACTAACTATGAATTTGAAGCTGGTCTTTAGGCAGGACAGAAGCCAGTGTGATGCAAGCAGAGATTTTCCTAACGTACCATGTAAGAAGCCAGAGCTAGCCTGCTGGAGAGGCTTCAGAGGCTTCAGAAGTGCGTCACAGCACTGACTGGTAAAAACAACTGGGGTTTGGCCTAGAAAATGCTTAGATCCTTCTGGTCTAAACTTCGACTGTTTATTGCTGGAGCTAACACATTAAAAGAAATAATTTTTTGTTCTTGATGAACATATCATTCTTGATAAAGGCATAAAAGGACAACAGAGTTTCTGCTTCCCTCTATGATAAACAAGTCTATATGAGACATAGTGAGAACAACTTAAAATCTTAATCTTAATAAGAACAACTTAAAATCTGGATAAAAAGGTGGGAGGAGTATCTGTTTGAGGGCATCAGAGAGCAATCCAAGAATCTATAACCTATGTAGTAAAGATCCCAAGTGAAAAAATGAATTAAAATAATTTCAAGTGACCTTTTATTCAATGAGTACTACAGACCCTAAGCAGAATAAAGCCAAAGAAAAGCACAACAATACATATCACAAATTCTGCATATGCCAACTTAGTAAGTGCAGGGAGCCCAGAATTAAGAAACAGCAGAGGTTAAGCAGGTGTTCTGGTAGTTCTCTCATAGTGTTAGGAAGCAAACCAAAGTTTAAGCCAACCAACAAAAAGGAGTCTTTGTAAACATTGTAATCTTTTATTTAAACCTGTGGAAGAAAGACACTCTAGTAAATGAGTAAGGTGGAAATACATTTACCCTCACAAAGACTGTGGTCCACATTGAATCAGTCACATATGATCTACACTAACATCTAACAGAAGAGAAATAAATCCTCTCAGAAACAAGATAATATCCTGTCTATATTTTTTCATATACAATTTTAGTCATTCAATCAAAAGTTAGAAAGTAGGTGAAGACTGGAACAAGAAAAGAAAACAGATCTAGAGGTAATTAAGATTTATACTCAGACTTGAAAATAACTTCAAAAACAAACTAAAAAATGGAAATATTTCTGGAGAGAACAGGAATCCATTAAAAGATCAAGCGAAAATTAGAGAACTGAAAAATACGTGAAGTGAAATTAAGAACTCAAAAGGTGTGTTTAACACCAGATTAGACTCTTCTGGCAAAAGCACTAGTCAACTAGAGGACACAGTAAGATGGAAAATACCTAGGATTTTATCCTACTTGCAAGCAAACAAGTTAGTGTACCACAAGTTTCATAGATTCTGGTAGAAGACAGCAGACTTTTGGATCAAAGATAAAGAACACCATGTGACTCACAGCAGTAACAGCAGCTGGAGTATCTGTATTTGGGCCACTTTTCTCATCCTCGATTCCCATAGGGCATCAGATATCAACTGCATATGGTGTAGATTGTGTTGTATGAGAGAACCCTGAGCTAGGGAACACAGCTACCTTTTCTCCAGAGGGAGACATTTAAATCATCTGGGATTTTTTGTTATATAAACAAGTTTTAAAGATAGTCTAGAACACAAGGCAGTCACTATCTCCCTTTCTATCTTAAATGCAAATGATCAATAGAGAATTGTTTCCTAAAGATTGAAGATTGAAAGACAAAAGGATGAAAACTATTTTTAGAAGTGTAAGAGACATAAAAACATTTAAAGTATTAGCATACTGTAACTGTAACTCTAGAAGAGTAAAGAGAGGAAGGAACAGAGGCATGGCAATGACCATTTCCAAAATGGACTAAACAGATCACACCACAAATCCAGGATGCACCATGGCTTCTGAGTACGGTGAATCCAAAGAAAACTGAAACTGTGTATTTTACAATAACACTGCTGAAGACAAACCAAAGCATGAACATAACTTAGGAAAAAAAGACATCATTTCAAAGAAGCAAGACTAAAAGCGACAGCTGAATTCCTAAAAAATTCATGGAATTCATAAGATAATGGAACTTTAAAGTACTGATGAAAATAACTGCTAACCTGGAATTCTACATCCAGCAAAAATGTCCTTTAAAAAATAAAGGCAAAGGATTGGGAGACGATAGCTAATAGGTAAAAAGTTTTAGTTTGGGATAACAAAAATGACCTAAATTTGACAGTGGTTGTCGCTCTACAACTCTGTCAATGTGCTTAAATCTATTGAATCTTACATTTTAAATTTGTAAATTGTGTGATATGTAAATTTAGTTCAATAAAGTTGTCTTATTAAATTTTTAAAAATAAATGCAACACAGTAATATTTTCAGCCAAACAAAACTTGACAGACCTGTTGTAAAAAAATACCAATGGAGACTTCTTCAATCAGAATAGTAATAACCATAAATGGGAGCACAGAAATGCAGGAAGCAATGAATGGCAGGAAAAAAAAAACTTGGCTAACTTTTAAAGCAGTAAGAGCAGTGATCTACAGGACTTTAAACATTTTAAAGAAGTGGTTATATGGTATATCTAAGGATCTTATAATGACTAGGAAGACGAAAAAATACTAATTTGTATTATTAGAATGTAATTTCTACGATAACAAATCATGCATTAATGAAAAATCACTACAAGGGAAAACGGAATGGTGATTTTTGTAAAAGCTTGACTGTCTCACAGAAAAGCTAGGGGGAGATACAAAGGAAATTCATCAGATGGAAGGAATGAAAAAAAGTGAGCAGTAGATGGTAGATTTAAACCCAAATACATATTTCATTAATCGTACATAAATTAGGACTGAGACAAGTGATGAATTAATAAGAATCAGAAAGCCCAGGAAGGGAAAAAGCCAGAAGATGACATGAAAGTTGACAAAGAGAAGGAAGGGATAACAAAACTTAACTAAGGCTAATTCTAGGGCCCTGGATGTTAAAGAAAGGAAGTGGTTGTGCCAGAGGGGACTCACCTGTCTGGGATAGCCATTCCAAACCTCCCAGAGGTCATACGTCCAAGGTTTCTATAAAAACAGACACAAACAGAAACGTAAGCTTATCAAAATCAGAGGCTAATTTCTGCAGAAAATGTACTCTTCTTCATGTTGCTTAGTCGGGGCAAAGATGCACAGGAAAATTCGCTTTTGCATGCTGCTTCTACTGTATATATTTCTCTCTTTGTAGGTATTTATTCATGGCCCTATGTAACACCCATATAAAATTCACTATAAATCTAGGTTCAAAAAAGAGGGCTGTGTCATTGATAAAATTTATTTTGAACAACAAATCTACTAAATTTTTTTTTCTTTTTTGGGCACTGGGGATCGAACTCACAACCTCGTACTAAAATATTTTTGAGCCAATTCAATTATTGCATTTTTAGAAGTAAACATATCTTATGACAACCACAGCAATAAAGTATGTTTTTAAAAACTAGAATCAAAGGGAAATATCTAAAACTGATTACCGAGAATATATCCTAAAGGAATTCAGTCAAGAATTTTAACACTTAAAGGCAAGTCCAAAGATATCAAAAAGACAACTTACATCATAGAGAAATGCAATTCCAGCAACAGTAAGTATTAAGTAAAATGCAAATCGCCAGCTGTCAGAAAGAAAGAAAATTTGTTACTCCTTTATGTAAAGGTCACTGAAATCTGAAGAGAAAAGGATTTGGTATGACAAAGTCTGGAAGAATACACTCTCTGGAGTCATGCAAATCCAAGTTTACATTCTGGCTTTGCCAGTTATGAGACAGCTATACACTCAGGTAGGTCATTTAACCCCCTCACCTATATAATGGTAATGACAAAACTTCCCTACAAATGTCCAAGTAATTTAAGATAGTTTGCAAAAGCACTGGCATAGCCCTCGCATGAAGTAAGCAAAACAAACTGGGCCACTACTGCTACTGCTACTACTACGGTTACTATTACTATGACTGGATCAGCTCTAACACATCATAAATGATGATTTGATATCAAGATTATCATCAACACAGTAAAAAGAAGAAAGTTGACAAATCTAGCAACCTATTTAATTTCCCTGAAATTAAAACTCCTGTATGATTTCTGTGTGGTCAAACCTTATTCTTGTTTCCTAAAGGCAGAAGTGTGTTTATTTTTTATTTTTGTTGTTGTTATTTGGTTTTGTTAAAAGCAGAATTTTAAAGAAAACATTTTCTTTTTATGTATGGGGGAAGATTAAGAAGAGACTTAACAGCCATATCAATCAATTGCAACATATGGCTCTTATTTTGATTTTAATAAAGTAAACAAACTGTAAAGAAAATTATAAGATAACCAAGGAAATCTGAACACTTATTATTTCCTCTTATCAAATAAAAATTATTTTAGACATGGCAATAATATTGCAAATATATAGATACATACTATGTACTTAGAAATGAAATGAAATGATACAGTGTCTAATATTTGCTTTAAAAATAATCTACAGTGGGAGAGAGAAAGTGAGTGGAACTGTAGATGGATAGATTCTGCCAGCCTGAGGCTTGCTATCTCTAACATGACATCTGCCCAACATGGCATTGCCCCAAGAAACAATATATCTCTCCAGAAGTAACTTCTGCTTTTGAGTTTCAGGAAAAAAACAAAAACAAAAACAAAAACACCTCCCGCTCCCATTTTGCACATGCACTGCATGCGTGGAGCCTTCTCCAATTTCGAGACTCCACAAACCACTTGACCCCCAAGCCCCCGAAACTTTGTTTCCTGTTTGCCCAGGCCTCTGCTCCTTCAAATCAGCTGTTGATATGTCATTTTGCCCACCTCCCAAACTCCTCCTACAGCCAGATCTGATAAAAGTACTTCCACTTCTTTGTTCTCACCCTAGGCTGCTTGCGTTTCTTCTGCAGCCTTCCTGTGCCTCAATAAAGACCTCTTTTTTCCTTCGTCTTTCTTTTTTTTAAATTTTTTTTTAATTTTAAAGAAAGACAAAGCAGAAAACTTTCAAAGAAAAAAATAAACAGTAAGAAATCATTAGTTGATGATTACATATTGTCCTCTTACAAACAGTTGTTAAACATACAAAAGTGAAACATACAAAGTGGGGATTCAAACAGCGAGACTGCAAACAGTTCTGTTCAACTACCCAACAAAAACTTAGTAATATGGTTATCAATCCTATACACTTAAACATACATGCAGTTATCCATATCCTCATTTATGTTGAGATTAAACAAACCAAAGAAGGCTAAAATCACTCTGAACAAAGAATAATAGTATTGCTAGATTTCACATCATGACACTACAGGATCAGCAATGAGTACTGTAGTGTCACTTTTTTTCAAAGTATTTGTTCATTTCATCATGCATTACAAGATCAGTGCTTGTAAACTGTTTATAGGTTCTATGCATGCATGCATCTTAACATATATTTCTAGTCTTTCCATATTAGACAGAGAAACAAAACAAAGCAAGACAAAACAAAACATATTCCTATAAACACATGAAACGAAAAAGACATAAAACTGTACAAGGAGTTCTACCTTGGTTTCTGTGTTGTCTCTTATCTTCAATAGAACTGTCTATATCATCAGACATAGTATAACTGAACACAGCAGTACGTAACAATATTAATAAAAACACAACTTTGTAAATAGTGTAAAACTTCAAAAACAGGTGGTAATTAAACCAGAATGGATATCATAGTGAATCCTGTCATCTTCAGTGTAGTTGCCTATACTGTCACATTTGATACTACCAATCTTAACAGTTTTGAATAAAATCTGTTGATACTGAACAGCAATCAAACAAACCAGATTTAACTAAGATCAGTCATGATAAAACAGTATAAGTTATACAGGGCTCCAGAATAAGTTAATAGGAAATTAAAGAAGATTACTGTACTATATCCTATTATTTTTGGGATAGCTGTCTGTGCCCTCAGATCTAGTGCAAATAGACAAACTGGGACAGAATAAAATCTATCTAAGCAGAGCAATGTGAGTAATGTGGGTTTTAAATCCTGATACACTGTTAACAATATCTTCTGCCGTCTTTTTTAAGACTATTCTTCCCCTTTCACTCCCCCAGGTTGTACTGTGCATTTTTGGGTCTCACCAACACCGTTTTTAGATTGGAGGGGCAACCTGCTATTTACCTAAGTGGTTCTGAACCTTCTCCCTCCTGGACTTGATCTCTGGTTGCATTCCTTTACCTATTAAAGCCTGTTTTTCCAACCTATCCACAAATACTGGTCTAGTTGCCCCTATTACTCTCTGGTTCCCTGTCACAGAAAGCATTGTTTTCTCATGTTTGATTTTTGGTCCATAAACCCTTTTTTAGGTTAATTATATTTCCTATAAAAGAGCATCTTGGTGGACCCTACCTCCTGATCTACTCTGCCTGTGTTTCTCTATTTTTTTAGCATATCAAGGCCATCTATATAGAGATTACAGCCAACCTTCTCTGCCTTATTTCTGTTGTACTCTTTTTCTGTCATTAGTTGTCTACTTTTCTTCTTCATTCCACTGTCTGCTCCTTTCATTGAGGCCTCTCTGCTACTGTGGAATTCTGGTATTTTTTTCTCTCTGTAGAATGTTCTTCAGTATTCTCTGTAGAGCTGGATTGGTGGTTGCGAATTCCCCCAGTTCCTCTTTGTTTTGGAAGCATCTTGTTTCTCCATTGATTTCTAGAGACAGTTTTTCAGGGTACATCAATCTGGGATGGAGGTTATTTTCTTTTAGGGCTTGGAATACTTCGCTCTAAGCTCTTCTTGATTTGATGGTCTATGTTGAGAAGTCTGCTGTGATTCTGATGGGTTTTCCTTTATAGGTAATGTTTCTTTTCTCTGACAGCTTTTAATATTCTGTTCTTATATTGAATTTCTGGGATCTTGATTATTATATGCCTGGGTGTAGCTCTGTTTTGGTTGTAGGTGGCTGGAGTTCTGTATGCCTCATACATCAGAATATCATTTCCTTTTCCTATGCTTGGGAAGTTTTCCTTAATTATTTCTGTGAATAGCCTCTGTAGTTCCTTTGTTTGTACCCCTGCTTCTTCATTCACATTCTTTATTCTTAATTTATAGATCCTCTTGTCATCTACTAACCTTTATCTTATTACTTCCTGTTTCCTTATTTTTAAGAAATTTTTCCTGTCATGATCCCACATTGCAAACCTGTATTCCAGTTTGGACAATCTATCCTTAGTTTCTTTCAAGCAGTTTTGCCAGCTTTCAATGGAGTTTTTTATTTCCTGTAATCTCTTTGAATCTGCTTCATGTATTCTATGTTTTCTTTATATTCTTCATCCAACATTTCTCTCCTTTTTATGTGCTTCCTCCATTCTTCCATCTGTGTCTTCTTGAGAGGTGCTTAGCATTTCTTTTAGTAATCTACTTATATCTTGCTTTAGTTGGTTAAATATTTCACTTTTGAACTCATCTATAAGGTCCTGAAGATATCTCTTTATGTACACTGATGCCGTGTCTGATATTGCATGTTTGCTGTCCTCAATCGTTTTTATATTTATCTTTTCTGGATCAACGTTCTCAGGGTTGGGGGTTGGGGACTTTTTCTTGTTGTTTCCTCTTCTTGTATTTTTTGTTTCTTCCATACAGGTGTATAGAGGAGGTCCCAGTCCCTTTCCTTGTTGGCTATGTTTCTTCTGAAGTGCACTGGCTAGGTGATCCTGCCCACTCCAGTGTGTTATTGAAGTGCAAACAGGGGCGGCGTATGCTGATTCCTCCTCTCCAGGTCAGTCAACCTGCTGAGGCCTTCACTGTGTTAGTGTGTGCCACATATAGGGAATTGGTTTGGGACAACTTATTGGGCTTCAGCCAGGGGTGTGACCCAGGCCACGCTTACCCTACCAATCTCGTCTGGGAAGTGAACAACTAACTGAAGTCACTGCTGTTCCTTGTTCTTGCCAGTCCAGCCCGATTCCAAAATGTCGTCCTGTTGGTACCCCTTTCCCATAGAAGGGTTTTATTCCCGGCACTCACCGCAGGTCAATGCAGATCCTTACCGGCTCTATTCTCCTTTGGGCTTGCCGAGCTCTGACTTTAGTGCGACTGCACTTCAGTGTGACTGCGGATCCAGCAAGTCAAAGCAGCAGGAATTCGGGTGCATGAGAGCACAGAATCTTAGCTGCCTCAATAGTAGCCCCAGGACTGCGTATTTGACTGGTTCTTTTCACTTTAGTTTCTTCCTTGGTTCCATCTCCCTCTGTCCGGGACTCCCCACGCTGTGTTATTTCGGCATCTGAGTTGTCTGTCTCAGGGAGCCTCTGTATTCTACTCTTATCTATCTGCTATCTTTACCTTATGTTTTCAACTTTCTAAAATAAAGTTATTTTTTAAATCATGGCAACTTTATTCAGAGATTGCTGAAGCAAAGATACTGTCACAATATTTGTTCCTTTTACTTTTGTAATGCCCTATATCAATGGTGGTGAGCCTGTGTCACCATGTTGTTTTTAAAACAAAAGATGTTAATGCATAAGTTTTTTTTTTCTAAATTAAAACCTCAGTATTCGGGTTTAATTGGCCTTTTGCAATAAATAAGTGGGTTCTGGGATGCAGTTTTGGCACTCATCTCTAAAAGGTTTGCTATCATTAACCTACAATATTTTCCTCAGTACA